GAAGACTACCTTTCTTGATACTGGCGAGCTCTTCCAGAAGGAAGCCTCGGAACTGGTCCTCCTCAGTCACACGGCGGTCGGGAGCACCTAAGCCCATTGTAACTACTAGTGTACGACCATGTCATTGGCATCGACGCGAAATCCACTGCCTTCCTTTTGGAAGACTTCTGACACTCATCACCAGACTAACGTAAACGAGCCCTGAACAACGCCCAATGAGGAAGCCCCTAGCACTACCACTATCAGCTGTGAGCTTCCTTAGGGCTTCCACCTCCTTATCTAGACCCGAGGTCTGCTTCTCGAACGTAGTGCATTCATTGTCTACTTTCCGCTCCAGTCCAAGACCGATCTCTTCCGACCTTTCCAACAACTACTACCACAGATATCATCCAGACCATCTAGTCAGCATGCCCCACCCGATGGTCCTTATCTGCCCACACCTGCCGTTTGCCCTTCATCTTCTCCCCCAGCTCTCTAATCTCCCTTTGTAGAGCTGATGCATCCACCAGGAGCTTCGACGGCAGCTCACCCCGAAACTGCAGCATGCCCCTCTCCAGTGTAGTAGTACCGACCATGCCCTCTAGGGCCGACCCCCACCCCTTCCTCACGCAAAGCGAGGGTCTCCACCGTCTTGGCCACCTCCTCCAACCTCCCTAGTATACCGTTCTGTAGCCTATCGAGCATGTCGTTAGCCATCTGTTCGGTCACTCGGGTGAGGGTGTTGGTAGATTCACTACGCCTCCGGACCTTACAGTGAGGACCCTAGGAAATTTCGTAAAATTCTTGTTGATTTCTGTACATTTCTACCCTAATTCGTATATAAACCCCCAAAGTGAGCTGAGGAAAGCGAACACATATTACAACACCACCTCCTCGAGCCTCGACGACCCACCTCATCCGACAGCGCCTTGTCCAGTCTAGTCACCGTATCAGCCAGATCCGTCACTCGGTGCTCCTCAGAGGACCTGAGACCCTCAACACCCTTCCTTCCCGAGGAAGAGGATCACCTCCGCTTAGCAGCTTCATCCTCAATGACCTTGTCAAAGCCAATGAAGGTCTCCCCCACCGAAAGCAGTTGACTACGGAGCCTCTCACTGCTCCTCTGCGGACTCGTACTGCTCGTCACCAATGGTCGTAGTGGTGATGTCGAATAAGTACTCGAGGAGTTGCTGGGGGCTCCTGATAGGCAGGCACACTTTGCATCCTACGAGTCCAACCTTCATACCACTCCGCCGCCCTAGTGACGACGACTCTACCGACTCCATCGCGACGACAACCACTTCGAAGAGTACAGAGCTCACTACTAACACCACAATCTGTTCAGTAGAAACTGAGAACACTATCAACGTTTTCTCGATGATTCAGCTGCACCCTTCCGAGCCTCTTCCAGTAGCAACTTGGTAGGCCCGGGGTTGACTTTGTCCTCTGCCTTCAACGACCTCATCAGATTAACGCTGACCTCCCTGTCCACAGCCTCGTCGTCCATTGCATCAACGTGATGGTCATCTGCGCCCATACTCATCCTCAATTCCTCGTCAAGCTGCTTCATGTATCTATTTGGACATCATCCGTATCATACACGGGAGAACCTAAGATTCTCCCATTACTAACCTCTTCATCTCAACGTCGGGAACAACCTCCTCCTCCTCAGCGTCCGAGTCCGGCATGTCATCGATCATATCATCATCCGAGCCCTCACTCCCTTCCTCATGACCTGAACTCCTCCATTACCTCCTCTACCCCTACACCGTCACTACTCTCTATTCCGAATATGCCCGAAGCCTTCCCCATAAGGTCGTTGAGCCTCGTAGACACATCCTGCAGCTCCTTCTGCTCCTCCTCAGTGAGTCCATCTGCCACAATGACCATCATCACACCCTCCGAGCCAACTACTACCACCTTCCTTCTTGCCAGCCTCCTCAATGGCTTCAATCAGCCACGCATCGCTATCACTAGGACCGTCGTACTTGGCAAATCTCTCCAGAGGGGCCTCCTGAGCTTCTGAGCATGGACCCAGTCCAAGACATTCACCCTACCTCTTCCCTGCACTCCTCCATTCGGTCCAAGAGCCCCTTGCCCTTCTCAAAGTGTGCCGTATCCTTATTATTAGCCTTCACAGCACAATGAGCCGCCAACGAGACCAGCCGACCCAGCATCACTAACAAACCGTCGATTTCCTATGTCGCATTTTATGCAACCAGCCCACCTGTATTTTCCTCACTACGACTACGCATCTGTTGGCCACCAAAGGCAAGCCTGGCAGGCATCCTCAGACGACCCTTGACGCCCATAAGGGAAGCATAATGAAGCTTCGTCATGGACACTTGGATGGTCACCAACTCCCCTGAGTTGAAAATACGCATAGGACTTCGGTGGAGCACTACCCCTCGAGATGCTCTCAGTGATGACGCTACTACCGCGCTCAGCCAAGCGATCAGGAGGCAAGTAACTACAGTGATAGATTCATCGTCACGCGCCATGAAATTCAAACACTTACTCGAGGAGAAGGGATATGATCTGAGGTTGCCGTATGAGTTGCTCTGCCAGTACTGCAGGTAACTGTAGGACTCCCCTCATCACGACCAACTACCTACGACTACCTACCAATAACCTGACATGCATAAGGTCGATGCTCCACGGCTTCGACTTCAGCTTAGTGATAATACATCTCTGCACACTCGGGGAGGCAATAGTCTCACAGTCATCATCGAGGACCTGCAAAGAGGGCAATATATCTATGCTATGCGGAGCTCACAATACCATGTCCACCGCTGCCTCTACTGCTAAAGGCTTGATATCTGGGGGCTGCTCGGAAGGAGCCTTCGGGCAGATGTGGAGCATCCCTTGGTGAATCTAGGAGAGTACCGCATGTCCAGCCATATCAAAGGAGTACATCATACCCAAACTCTATGTCCTGCATTTTCAGGACTCAGCCACTTAGGCAACGCAGGTGCTGCCTCTATCAGTAGAGGATCTCCATCAACATCGGACACCTCACAGGCAACCTCGGAGTACTTCCTAGTCAGTGAAACCTAACGAGCATTACGAGGAAACGGCCGACTAAACTACGACTACTACCAGCAAGCTGATGAGCAGCCATTCATCATGCAGAGCATCCCCATAGCGCAAATGGATACCATACACTAGGTAGGGAGATGAGACCTGCCTCAACACTGAGGGGTTGGGTCTGCTCATCGACCTACCCTCGAGGCATCCAACACGTCCACTTGTGGGGGGTCTCTCTGCCAGATGTAAGCTCTCGGGGTCTGGTCGTGAAGGTAGTCTCCTAAAAGCTGATGCCATCTTTGAGAGTCCTCGGTGGAGCTCACATAGAGTCTGAAAAGCAGTGCAATATGACAATTGCGGGTATCGATCCCACATCCTCTCGATGACGAGGAGAGGATCCATCCCTCTACACCATACGGTCACTCTCCCCTACTACTTCGCATCAACATAGTCATCCAGGTTGCTACCACCCCCGCTCCTCAGCGCCTCCTGCAATAAATCACTAGGCTGCGAGTCCGGGGTAAAGGCCGGACTAGAAACCTGACGTCGATGGTCGTTGGCTCGTGCCCTCATCTAGCGAGTAAACCCAACACCT